GGGCAATCAGGTACATTGTAATAGGTGGGGGGGGGGGGACCGATCCTCTGACCGGCTTCTTACCAGCTATGATTGTTGTTGCTTGCCGCCTCACATTATTTTTATCCACGTATTCGCCATAGTCCACTTTCCCTTCCACATATATTCGAGCCCTGACATGGAGAAAATGTATAGTTTTTAGTATGAAGATCCTAATATCACTTTACAAGAGAGTAATTAGTCAGGTCACATAGTAATGAGTACACACTGAGAATGAAATAGCAACACATAACTGCACTATTGCTAGTACTTCTTAAAGTTCAAAATTAAGAGTACCGAAACACAATGCACAGCAGACCTGATGCATCTAGTTCCAAGGGACAACACGTGAGCTGTGCGTGCCAGTGCTGGTCTACAGCCCAAGACTAGAAGCCATGGCCAGAAGATCACAAGCTCCAGGTCACTCTGAACAACTCTGCGAGATCCTGCCTCAAACTAAAAATTCTATACAAGATGCAGAGATGTAGCTCGGTGGCAGAGTACTTGCCGAGGATTCACAAACCTGAGTTCAGTCCCAGTAACGGACACAGACACAGACCAGACAAAGACAGACAAATTCATCAATTCCAAGGTGAATGTCTATGTTAATATTTATCATGAATTAAAATTTAACATTTTTAATTCTAGGAATTAAAAATTATTTTTCATAAAATACTTTACTGCCACAAAACAAGTACATTTCTAAACATCAGTTATTAATATAACTTCAATAGTAAACATCCTTTTGTCATTCTAAGTCTTTGGAAAAGACGCTTTTAATACATAATCAAGCCAACCATTCCAAAAGGGAACAAGCCTAAAGATAATTACCAAACATAAATAACTGCTGAGAATACTATCGTAACTCAGCACGCCAGGCATCAGACATTTCAGGTTCCCTACTGAAGACATCATGTGACTATCTAGAGGCAAGCCGCAACCTCCAAGATCCCTGGTCTGGTGGCACAGCATCTCCTAAGAGCAAGATGCTTTTCAAAAGCAGCATCCAGTACAAACTGCCATCTCACCTGCCTCATCTACTACTTATATATGGGTGCTGTTTGTTCTATGCTGTCAGAAGTCTAAAACTATGCTTTGTACATCCTTTTGCTGTTGTTTGGGTTTTTTTGCGACAGCATTTTACCATATACTCTGGTCTACTCTATGAACTCATTATGTCGACTAGGCTGGCTTCAAACTCACAGAGATCTGCCTGCCTTCACCTCGCGAGTGTTAGAATTAAAGGCATGCACCACCATGCCCAGCTTGTACACCTTTTAATAACAAAGCAAATATTTTAATAAGAAAGCAATATTCCATGCATTACTAAGGAATAAATACCTATTAATGAGTACTTAGGGAAAAGGAGGAGTTACATATTCTTTGCCATGAGAACATCTGTCATCAGTCCTTCAAACCATTCAATCCAAAAGACCCTTCCTTCATTCGCTAACTTACCCCTTTTTCACATACTGATACGCCACATCTCTGAGGCCTGGTCGGAACACTGATATCCTGTGCCATGTTGTCTTCTGGCTGACATCACCTAAATCACACGTGTAAGATATGTGGTTACAAATGCCAGCAGACAAAACAATCACCAACCACAAACATGTCCAGGTAAGCCATGCTCACGTTTCTAAGAATGGGGCAGAGTTAAAGAAGACAGACCTCATCTAAAAGTAGCATTTGCCACTAGATAGGTAGCAACAAATGCTGTCTATTTATTGCTGATAAAATAAAAACCTTAGTCTTTTATACTCACCCATTTGGTATACTTCACTCTCCCCTGATCGCCACATCTCATTTGTTGCTAGAGAAAATATTGTGACTGGATTTTTTCCTTCCACCTGCCTCATGACAGGGTCCTGACCCACTCGCCCAAGCAACTGCACACGATTCAGTGCTGAAATTGAAGGCAGAAATGAATTGAGCCCGAGAACCTGCTGTGGACTGAATTTTGTGTCCCCTCAAAATCTGGTTCTTCCAAGCAATGGTCCTTCCTAGCTTTGAAGTCTAATAAACAACAATGACTGGCCCAGCAAACTATATCGCTATTGATGCAGTAGTGGCACTTTTATCAACAGCTACTCTTTTGGGATTAAGGCCTGCTCAATGGGAGGGAACCCATGTGTGATACTATAAACAGCCAAATACACATGGCTGGAGATTCCTTATTTTATTCTAAATATGCATTCTCAATATTTACAGACAAGTGTATCATTCACCCTTCATCAAAGAACCTTCTTTGTGCATAGATGCAGACTATTACAGAGTTCTACAACTGGTCAAATGCAGAGAATAAGTGTCTGTGAGATGCTTAATCCTAAAAGATACAACTCCAATGCAACTTCTACACACAGAAGAATGCATCTCTCAACTTTCACCAGGGAAGTTTCCTTATGCAGCAGATGGCACTTAACACAGAAACCCACAATTGGCCAATGCGCAGAGAACAGAGGCCACAAGAATGTCTTTTCCTGATTAGGACACCTATTTCAAACCTCTGCCTCCCAAGGCTCAGGGAAAACTGTGGAAGAGGAGGTGGAACTATTGTAAAAGCCAGAGAGGTAGATGACCACAAGGAAACAGTCTTCCAGATAGCTGGTCAGTTTTACACATAAGAACTCACAGCAATAATGACAGCAGGCACATGTCTCACGCAAGCTCAAACCAGGTAAGATCCTAGTATAGACATGAGGAAGTGGGCAAGAAACCCCAACCCAACCTAAGGAACTTTTGGCAACTGATGGCTGCTGGAAACGAGAATGATAGTTGTCTTACAGGGATGAGACTCTTGGTGATCCAGTGGATAGACACACACTGAAGGACATTTAGGGACACAAATCAACTCTATAGGCTGATATATATATATACATATATATATATACATATGATATATATGTGTATATATATCATATATATATATGACAGTATATTAAATTGGGGGGGAGAGTGTGGACAGGTGAGGCGATCTAAGTACCATCAAACTATATTGTATGAAAATCGCAAAAATTTAATAAAATAAAATTTTTAAATTGGTCCTTAAAGCTCTAACTCCCAAATAAACAGTATTTGGAAGTAAGCCTTGGGTAGGTACTTGGGTTTAGATGAGATTATGAGGGTAAAGCTTCCATGATGGAATTGTGTCCTTCTAACAGAAGAAAGATACCAAGGTGCTTCTCCCTTGTCCCCACCATATAAAGGCACAGTGAGAAGGCTACTATTTACAAGCCAATAGGGGAGTCCTCACCAGCAACCCACCACACAGACATCCTGATCCTGGTCTTCCAGCCTCAGGGGCTGTGCAACACAAATATCTGCTGCTTCCGCCACCTGGTCCTGGTCTAGTCATTACAGTGGCCAGGACTATTAAAGCAACACCTGAGACTGACAGACACGTCCACAGAATGAACAACAATAAATACAGCTCAACCTCTGTAGTATGCAAAACCCAAGCTACAGACAATCAGATTAGTTATTAGTTACAGAAATACAGATTAGTTAAAAGGGCAAAAATAACCGGGCGTGGTGGTGCACGCCTTTAATCCCAGCACTTGGGAGGCAGAGGCAGGCGGATATCTGTGAGTTCAAGGCCAGCCTGGTCTACATAGTGAGTTCCAGGACAGCAGCCAAACCCTGTTTCTAAAAAAAAAAAAAAAAAAAAAAAAAAAAAAAAAAAAAAAAGGGCAAAAATAGGGGGTTGCTCTTTATCTTGAGCTAAAAAGACAAATAGGAGCTCTCCCGATCTTTATGACAAAAAGGAGGATTTCTGTGAGGGTATCTCACATACCCTGTCTAACAGCATGGAAGACTGAGCAGGACAGTGATGAGGGGAGTACTATCTGGATGGTAAGGAGAAAAGCCCAATTTCTACTAGGTCCTCATAGCCTCGGGGGCAAGGGCAACAACTAGGAACAAACACAAGGGCATGATGGGTAACACAGCTAAAACCAGACCACCACTTTTATAGCACTGAGAATATCAGCACTAGCATGGCACTACAAATCATATAAACTTAGAAATTAGTTACTTACATCTTTCAAGAACCAAACTGGCAGCTACTTCGGACTCATGTCTCACAAACTGATGGAAAACCTAAAGGGGAGCAAGTAGGAAATTGGGCTTGAATTTTTTTAAGGAAAACAAACACCAACAGATGCCCTGCTCATGTTCACTCACCACTGAATCAGTAGATCCTACAAATTCCCAACAAGGGAAGGGGAGGAGAGTGGAGGAGAAAGAATCAGTGCTTTCTAAAGAATGTCATCATAAATCAATTGGGTAATAACATAAAAAGCAATTACCAAACAACTGCAGAGTGTTTGCAAGACATGCAATGTTACTGCTTGAGCCTCATTCTCAGCGCAGACAATGAAAAAGAGGTTAAATTATAACAAAACAAAGCACTCCTCGCATTCATCCCACGGCTTTCAGACACAGCAACAGGCACTGTGGATACAACTTACAGGGTCTATATTCCCTGGCTGTTTCTTCCAAAATCATAAGGAACAGGACATCTCAAATAACTGGCCTAAAGTGTTTCATTTAAAAATGAGCAAAGGCTGGGGCTGGAGAGATGGCTCAGTGGTTAAGAACACTGGCTGTTCTTGCAGAAGACCTGGGTTCGAATCCCAGCACCCACACGGCAGCTAACAACTGTCTGTAACTCCAGTCCCAGGGGATCTGACAGCCTCTTCTGACCCCCACAGGCATTGCACAACATGGGTGCACTTACCTACCTGCAGGCAATACACACATACACATAAAACAAAAATAATAAAATATTTTTTTAAATGAGCAAAGGCAAGAACATTGATTTTTCAAGGCTACTGCAAAAATTCCAACAGCTTCTATAATGACCTTAGTCTAATAGGACATTTCAATCTTTCAGTGGATCAAGGAAAAACAGTATGTTATTTAAATATAAAAGTGTGGTTATGAAGTCAGTCACCAAAAAGGATATTCACTGCCAAAAAAAATAGCATCACTTAATATGCTAAGTGCTTTATTTACTATTATTTAATCCTAAACCAACTCTATACACAATGTAAAATTTTCCCTAGGAAAATTAAGGTCAGAGAGTCTATCACTTGCCCAGGAGACTGGAGGAGTTAAATAGTCACATGATTAGAACTGAAGACTGTCTGACACCAAGGTTGTTTTACCCTCTGCATCCAAAAGGAATTCTGTTCTATGGTTAGCATAAAGGTGAAGAGTGCAAACCACTGCATTCAGAGTTCAGAGAGCTAGACACTTCCTACCACAGAAACAGTTCCCAAGTGTCAGTACTGGGAAAGTATACAGGGCAGACGTCCGCCACGTGGTCGGAAAAGTTTCACAAGTGGTGAAAAATTGCACCTTTTAGAACATGCAGTAGAAAGAAAACAAGTTTAGTTATACACTGCTCGAAAGGCAGCTGGCTAGACAGTAACAGAAACCACCAGTCACTTAAGGCTTAAGGCAATAGGCTGGGAATGATGTCCTCCATTTTGAAGTTCTCATTTGATTTGGGTGAGTCACTTTGCATGCAGTTTTCTGGCATGTAATTTCCACCACATAAATAAGGGAAGTCCAGATTGGTTGCTGTTCAGTCCCAGGGGATCACTGAGAATCGCTGTGTATGTTATTTCCAGTTATGCAATCTCCACCGTGCAAGTAAGGGCAGTCTGGTTTCATGAATGCTGGTCTCAGACCTAGGCTGGACTACAGGGCTCTGGTCTGTGGTGTTAGAATACAGCATACCACCACTCAGTTTGGCCAGAAGCAAAGTTCTCCTGTTTAGAGAATTTCTAGACCAAGCTTAAATAACTTCCCTGACCTGTTCCCTTTCCTGGTCTCTTAATAATGCCCTCTCCACATGCCACTCAAATGAACATCCATTCCTGGGATGATCTTGGCTATATAATACTATCATTAAAGGCTAAGGTAAAGATCAGAAAAAAAGTAGTAATGTCATACTACAGAATCGAACTGCAAATTAGTTCCTATGTTGAGATCATAGAAAAATACTAACTTGACAGACCAGAGGAGCCAGAGTTCATAAGTATTACAGAATAAACATGTGACTCATTTTAGGCACACACAAAAATCACAGGTATAGGGAAAAGATTTATTTATTATTTTATATGTATAAGTGTATTCCCTGCATGTGTGTAAGTGCATCCATGCCATGCAATGCCCCTAGGAGTTTGAAGAGAGCATGGGATCCCCTGGAACTGAGTTACAGACAGTTGTTAGCTGCCATGTGGGTGCTGGGAATTGAACCCAGGTCCTCTGCAAGAGTAGCCTGTGCTCTTAACCGCTGAGCCATTTCTCCAGCCCTGGAAAATGATTATTTGACTTCAGTAATTTCAAAATGTAAACTTTTATTTTATATTTGGTTTTAAAGATAATACTACAGAATTACTGATAGTAACTTTTCTGTTTAAAAGGTTGAAAGTATGTGTAGGTTAAAGTGAGAATCTAAGAATATTAAGTCAACTTCATAGTAAGGGGGTGATGACAATAGGTTTTATAAAGGAATAATGATTCCTTATTAGTCTTAACAGGAAGTAAGGGAGTCATAGAGAGGTGACATGAGGAAGATTTACAGGATTTGGTACCCAAATGCTACAATGAGGAAAAATGCTAATTTCGGCCTGCTTAAGGCTGGCCAGAGTGGAGGACAGCCAGCCACATTGTAGAATGGTATTGAATTTGTGATGCCAGTAAGAGCATCACCAATGCTCCTCGGTATAACAAGATGACAGAAGAGCACTTATTAACAGAGGACATATGGTTAGAAAAGGAAGAAGCCATACAGGAAAACAATATAAGTCAGGTATGGTGGTGCATGCCTGCAATCCCAGCAAAGTAGGAGGTGGGGGCAGGAGTAGCAGGAGTTCATGGTCAGGCTCAGACTAACAGTGAGTTTAAGGATAGCCTGTCTCAAAAAAGGGGAAGAATCATTCTTACAATTTTTACATTACTAAATACCTGAAATGTTGTAATTCATCTAAATGCAAGTAACACATTGTAAAAATGATTATCCTACAACATATGTGAATAAGTTTTTTAAACACTCATTTTCTTTAAGTAAACACTATTCACAAGGAAAAAATCCATCCTGTGCCTTCCCTATCAAATAAACACATAGAAAGAGACGGGTAGGCGTAACCATCTTTTGCTCCTGTAGCCAAAAGCCAAAAGAAATCTGATGAGCCTACCAAGCAACCAGCTCAGTGCTAATGTAGAAAAGCGTTTACCTGTAATACAGGTCTTCGAAACATGGCGTCAACGTTTCTTACAATCTAATCTTTGGGCTTTTCCTGAAGAAGAAAAAAAGAAATAAAATATGTCAAACACTACAATATACAGAATACTCACAAGCGCACTAGTCCTAAATCTGTAACGGTGTTGATTTTTATGAATATCCAGTTAGCAACCCATCTTTGCACATTAGATTTCCTCTTTCCCTCGAAAACAAAACAAAACAAACTAGCGTTTTTGGAACCCTTCTCTGACAACTCATAGGAAAAATTCCATATTCTCGCTTCCCATCCACTGCTCAAATTTTACTGAAATACAAGTTTGCTGCAAGAAGAGATTTTTGTCTAATTTGTTCACTGCTTTTTCTAAACTCCCAGAACAGTTCGTACCATACAATAAGGGCTCATCAAATACTTTCATTAAAGGACTCGAATGTGCAACTCGTTCCTGTTAGCTCGGTCCAGCGGACACGGAATATCGCCTGGCTGCCCACCTCGCGCTGGGACTCGCGGGAGCCTGGTTCCCCAGCGACGCTCCCACCCGGGCGGCAGTCCGGGCACTCGAATCCTCCGCACGCGTGGGAATGACACACACCCCCCGTGCACTGCACACCCACGACTTCTCTTCGCTCTCCCCTCCCTCACCTCCGAACGCGCAACACCCTCCAGCCTCCAGCCAAGGGCTCACTTCCGGTGCGCAGAAGCCGCAAAGCTCACAGTACCAGGAAGCCCACAGCGTGCGCTTTTGAAATGCGGCCGGCTAATATTCTGGGAAACACGCTCCTTCCGTTTAGGGGTTCTGGGAACTTCTTTCCCAGCGGAAGTGGAGGGGGTCCACGCCACCAGTAAAGTGAATTTTTTTCTGAATCCCTATCAGCACCCATCTCACCCCCAGTACTGGCGGCTGAACCTAGAGCCTTGTACTGAATGTATTAGGAAAGTAGAAATAAAGAGTAACTTTGAAATGAAACTAGAAACTTGATGTGACACTGTGTGAAGTAGATAAGTAGATAAGAAACTAAGTTGTAACCTAGGAATTTATTAGGAATTTAGAAATTAAAGATGAATATTAACTCTGTAAACTCTGAAACCAAATTGAACATTGCTGTGACACTGTGTAAAGTAGAAGCTAAGTCGTAACCTAGCAACCAAGCAGAACCTAAGTGAGTTGAGTGCCTGTGTGTTGGTGATAAGTGACCACATGGTGTGAGCCATATCTCAAGAAACCGCTGAAGTTACTGACGTAAGTCAGAAGGACTCCAGCCAAAAAAGGAACATATAAAATCTGACAGCTCAAAGATTCCTTCGATGCTTGGCTACAGGAGACTCTGAATCGGTGGGCCTCATCCAGACGCATCGCTGGACACCAGACACCAGCCTGAACTCTGCCCGAAGCTCTGCCCCAGACCAGACCAGACCGGAGCCTCGCCTGCCACGACCAGAGGTGATCAGAACCTGTGAGAGACAGCTCCACAGCCGGGAGAGTGCACCGATCACGGCGGACAAGAGAATCTCTCCACACGGAGTGCCTGAAGGCTTAACTTCTGGAAGGTACTCCCTGAGACTTTAGGACTCTTAACTGCTAGAGGACCGGGTTTCCCTTTGAGTGTTTGTATTGATGTGTGTTTGTTATGCTTTGACCTAGTAAACGCATATTGCAATCAAACAGTCGTGTGTGAGAATCTCTTCTGTCCGTTGTGCCTGTCCTAAGCTCTCCCGAGAAGCAGTGACACACTCTAGATGTCACACTCAGGCCAGTGGCTTGAGACACATTCAGGACAGTTACTGTCAAGTAACTGCCCCATTCAGGACAGTCTCACAACATGCTAACCAGTCGCTCTACCACTGAACTAGATCCCCAACCCTGAGATGAAATTACCTAATGAGGTCCCCAGCCTGGGAAAGGGAGCAAGGTAGGTGAAATAAAAAAGTAGTTCTTAGCGGGGCTTGGTGGCCCACGCCCTGTAGTCCCAGCCCTTGGGAGGCAGAGGCAGGTGGATCTCTGTGAGTTCAAGGCCAGCCTGGTCTCTATAGTGAGTTCCAGGACAGCTGGGGCTACAGGGAGACCCTGCTTCAAAAAGGAAAAAAAAAAAAAGGAGTTCCACCCTTGAAGAAGCAAAATCAGGCCCTCGCCTCCTAATGCGGTAAGAAAACAAGGGGGGTGGACAAAGGAGCTGAAGCGTAAAATTTTAAGAGGTTGTCCAAAAATTGACAATTAAGATACTTTCATATGATCTGTTAAAAGTAAAAATACTTCCTCTGTGTTGACCCTCCTCTTTGTAGACTGGACACTGGTTCAAGTCCATCTCGTGGGGTCTCCACAGACTCCTTGATCAAGAGGACAGGTGACTCACCACAGAGGACATTTTGAGAGATGCTCATAGAACTAGTCGACATAGCAGGGCAAGGAGCAAAAACTGTCCTTTATGTCCCTCTGACCAAATTAGTATAGGCCTCAAAGTATGTCTGTTAAACATCCAAGAAGATTAGTTCCAAAACTCATTCAATTTTATGTCTTACAGGGTTTATACTGAATTCAATATTGTATAACTGTATTAATTCAACTGTGAACCTAAAAATTTTATAGCCACTTTTTAAATAGATGTTTCTTTGCTCTGGAAATTGTTATTGAATACATTAAAGCTGTAATGAAATGCTTCTTGTAATAAATTTTTTAAAAAAAAGTAAAAATGCAAGAAATCCATGAAGAGCAAAAATAGTTAAAATTTAAGTACTGGAACAGTAGCCAAATTGGGATCTGAGGCACAAGGAGAGCTGGCCCTTACATGTTTTTATGTATTTTTCAATTCTTTTTTTCTGAAACAAACTAGGTGAAGAAATTTTGAAACATTTTAAAGGAGCTATACTAAAGCTCATAACATTGCTTTATCTTAAAGCAAAGTGGAATTATGATTTTACTTTATGGGTGTTAGTTGAAATAAATTTATCAATATTGTCAGAATGTTTTGCTTATAGTGTTTGAATTAAGAAGTCTGCCATATCCAACAATTTTTCTGATCAAATGAGAACCTTAAGTAACTTTAATTAAGCTTACCTATCTTGTCTTTGGATTTAGTTCCTAGTAAATTTTCCAGTTTTACTATTTCCAAAATACTGCATTGAGAAATCCTTTATCTTGATTGCTGAATTTCTTCCACTCCCTCAAATTTTGCATTGTTTACCCCAGTGCTGGCACTGTGGGAAAACAGTTGAATGGAGTTCAGGAGATTGAAGAACCCAAGACAGACTGGATGAGGTGAGGCTCAGCACCTCATGCCCACCCCACTTTCTGTTGCTGCTCAGCTTGTAGAGAAGGAAGGGACTCCAAATCATTCTGACAAGTGCATTGCCTCCTTGGCCTATTCTTGCCCTTAAAAAAAAAAACAAAAAACAAAAAATCTGAACTACTTAGCATCGTTTCCAGCTTACATCTTAACCTGCTTCTAAAGTTCAGCATACTACCACTTGGTATGTTCTAGATGTTTGTCTCCATGTACTCCCAGCTTTACAAAGTTGAGATCCTGAAGTATGGCTATACTGTCTTCAAGTCTTGCACAGTTATTGATAATAACACATCCCTACTGTGTTACTACTTCTATGCCTTCTAATGATTTTCTCTTTTAAAATCCTTCTTCTGGAGCTGGAAAGATGGCTCAGTGGTTAAGAGCACTGGCTGCTTTTGCAGAGAACCTGGATTCCAACCCCAGTACCAAAATGGTGGATAACAACCATACGTAACTCCAGTTCCAGGGGATACAATGCCCTCTTTTGACCTCCGTGGGCACAGGTTTACTTACACACATGCAGGCAATACATTCATACACATAAAATAAAAATAATGAAATACTTTTTTAAAATCATTCTTCCATTAGGCTTGGTGGTGCATGCCTTTAATCCCAGCTACACAGGAGGGAGGCAGAGGCAGGTGAATCTCTGTGAGATGGAAGCCAACCTGTTCTACATAGCTAGCTCCAGGCCAGCTGGGGCTACAGGGAAACCCTGTCTCAAAAACAAACAAAAAATTCTACTTGCACTTTGTAATCAAATGAAAAACTATACTCACCCCTCTTCAAAGCTAATACACCCCAATCCTAATCTTGCAAATTTTGTTTTAATGGTGCCAACCTTGAACTTTGGGATAATCTTTAAATCTTCTTCCAGGTGACCTATATCTGTTCACTCATATCCAGCTCCTTAAAAGTTCTTTATTTATTGTCCCATTAGTATCTCCCTTGTTCTAGTTGAAGAATATAGAAAGGATTGTTTAAAGAAAAAGGTAGAATGCACCTGTGAATTGAAAACAGATACCGTTGGGCAAACTCTTAAAACTATAACATTTGAGTGGAAAGTCTTGGCTAAGCTTTGTTTTCTTCTCTCACAAAAGAATTACCAGTAAGCATTCCCCTTAGACTGATGAGTAAAGAAAGTTGAAAAAGCTACTAATTTTTCACTCTTTGAAAAAGAAAAAACATGTTTAAAATGCATAAAATTTTAAAACTATAATGTCAGGGAGGAACTGAATTAAGGCATTTTCTTCTCTTAAAAGGCCCTTCTTATGAAAACCAGAGGGAACCATATTATTCCTACAATCTACTGACAAATTATACATAACAGATCAAGAAATATATCTCTA